GATATAATCTTTATCCAATAAGATATGAGATATTTATAATCCAATAAAATATTATGACGAAAGGTCATTATACAACAGTATTATCAATTAATTATTACAAAAATCTAGCTAGTTAATAAATTATTTCTTGTTTATTATTAATGAAATTTGTATATTAATTGATTACTTTATAATTATTATATCTTATATTTTGTACTATTTAATATCAATTAAATTGCTAAAAAATATTAGTATTATATTACTTTAGAACTATCTTACATTAAATAAACATATCATTTATTAGTAATAGTGAAAGTCTATCTAATAGATAAAAGCAGATGTATTATATAATAATTTCAAAGTGATTAAATATAGATATTGATTAAATATATATAGCACAAAGTTACTTATCTAGAAATTCACTCATAATAATATTCTAAAACTAATTGATATTATTATATAATGAACTTTAATTAAATATTATACTGAATCATTTATACTTAATATTATTGAATTATATCTTATTAAAAGAATCTAATCACATGGAATAAGCAAATGAACAAGTGAGTAAATAAACAAATAAGTAAACGAATGAGTGAATAAGTGGATGAATAAGTGAATATTGAACCAATAGAATTTAAGTGATATAGCAAACATGAATTTGTATAGCTAAAAAACTATATTTTAAATTTGTATAAAAGCAATATATATTGTAGTTATTAAAAGATTAAAATACTAGAATTTATTTTTTTATTAAAGTAATTATCTTTTTTTAAAAGATTAATCAATATTTAAATTAAATAATAAATTAATATCTTTTATTAAATTAATTAATATTTTTTAAATAATTAAATTAATTATTATTTAATTTTAATTATAAAATATCTAAAAGAAATTATTTAATAATTATAATAATATTAAAAAGAAATTTTAATTTTAGAATTCTTAATTAATATTAAAAATTTCTAAAAAAATATTTAATATTGAAAAAAATAAATACAAAAGTTATAATAATAGAATATAAAAAATCTTTATTAAATTCTTCTAAAATATCAAAAGAAAATTTAAATTTAATTAGAAATATATTTATAAAACAATTTAATAATTATAAAATAGATATAAATAAAAAAATATTTAAAATTTGTATTTAAAACATTAATAATATATAATTATTAAGTTAATAAAATTAATAATAATATATTTAATTTATTTAATTTTTATATTAAATTATTATATTATAATAAAATAATACTATTTAAATATATATATTATCTATTATAATATTGTCATCAATTATATTTTCTAAATTATTAAATATTTTATTTATTTTTATTATTTATTTTTTGTTTAATTTTTCTTATAATTAATTTTTCAATCTATCAAATCTTTTTATATTTTTTTTGTTTTAATTTATTTATTTTTTGTTGTTTTTCAATTATTTTTTTAATTTATTATTTTCTTGTTTTTTATTAAATTTATTTTTGAAATTGCTAAAATTTTTAATTTATATTAAATTTGTTTATTTATTAAATATTTATTATTTTTTTCTATTAAATATTATTTTTCTTTTTTCAAATTTTTAATTTCTTGTTCAAGTTTATTTATTATTTTTTCTTGTTCAATTTCATGTATTTTATATATTAAATTCTCTTCTTCTAAAGTTAAATTTTTATTATTTTCTTTAAATTTATATATTATAATTTTTAATTTTTTATTTTGTATAAATAATTTATTTATTTTATTTTCTAGTTGTTTTATTTCTTCAGTTAATTTTTTATTATTTTCATTTAAATTTTTTATTTTATTTTCTTGATTTAAAAAAATTTTTATAATTCTTTACTTATTCATTTATTTTTTTATTTAATTCTTTCATTAATTCAAGTTTTATTTATATGTTTAATAACCAATAAGAAATCAAGATTATTTGAAAATTTAAAAAAAAGAAATTATAGAATGAGTAAAAATTATATATAGTAGCTTACAAAAATAATATATCACTTTCAAAATTTACTAATAAAACATAATAAAATATGAGTTTTTCTCTTTATATAAAAACTTTAAATTTTACTAATTAAAATTTTTTATTTTTATATAAAAATACAAATAAAAATTTATATTTTAACATATTTTTTATATTTAATCTGAGAAAGTTTTCTAATTACAAATATTTTATTAGTAAATTTGAAAGTGGTACATTACTTTTGTAAGCTACTATACATTTTATAATATTAACTTATTAATATATAATCAATTAAATTTGGTGAATTTTTGCATTACGATTTACAAAATATATGGAATTTTATACAAGATCAATTGGTTAATAATAAATATTGATTTATAATATGATTATTAAATATTTTTATTTTTTTTCATATTTTGTTTATGACTAATGTAAAAAAACAAGTTTTTTTTTACAAATATGGATATATAGCCGAAACTATAAAATAGAAAATGAAAAATAAAAACAGGTTTTTAAGAATTATAATTAACCAATGATATTTTTTTAACATTATTTATAAATATGGATATTTATTCAATAAAAAAAACAAAAATATAATTATTTTTTTTATTAAAAATAATACGAAGAATATACAAAAAACATTATTCAATTAATCTAATTATTTTATCATGTCAAAGTAAATAAAAACACAAATATTATCAATACGTATTGAATAGAAATCATTTTTATCTTCTCCAAAAGCTGCTCAAGAATCCTCCTATTCGGCTTTGGCCGGATTGAGTTTTCCGGCCAGCACGTTCTGGCAATGTAGATGGATAGTCGATATAATTGGAAGCGATATCAAAGAATAAAGGTTTCGCTGGAATTGGAGTAAATTCAGGTGGAAAATCAATTAAATGCGGATTATTCATCGAAATGTTTGTGGGGTATTCGTAGAGTCGTTTTATTAACGGAGGCTGAATAATTATTAAGTAATTATTGAATAAAATTGCAAATAATATAACCAAGAATTTCATAAAGATAAATAAAACATACTTCGATTTCCATTTTATCATCGACGCCCAAGTCACTGAGCTTTTGAATAACACCTACCGTTTCGTCATCCTCGTTATTTACTCCACCATGAGCTAAATGCCATTCAGCATGCACTTTACATTTATGGCCCCTCAATAAATTCTCTAATTGAGTCACATCATCTTGCGTAATTATCAACACGTCTTCAGCGTCGGGTGAATTTTGTGCCAACAGCGATTTTGCTTGTGCGTTATATTCTCTAGCACGTTCATATAATGCTATGGCTTCAACGTACTGATTAGTGATAGCATAAGCATTACCAACATAAAATGCCCTATGATTTTTATAATAAATAATACTTTGAGTGAAAAATGGAAAAAGGGGATGAGAATGGTAAAGGGTGAATTACCTGCTTGCTTTATGATACCAAGTTTTTGCTTCAATTTCTTGAGACAAAGCAAGATTGTCTTGTACCGCGGGAAGCTCACTAATTTCGACAATACTCTGATCAAATAATTAATGGGGAAATATTTTATATTAAATCAAATTACAAATCAAATAACAATATCTCATACCTGCAATACATTATCATATAATTTAACAATCTCCTGATGTTTTCCACTAATAAACTTTCCAGTATCTTGTTCTTCATGCTGTTCAAAACTTCGTTTTAGCGAGTCCACTAGCATCAAATTACGTTGAATTCTACGAGATAAGTAGTTGTATGCGACAAAAGTGTAGATAAAATTCAAATTTGCCGTATTTTGTTCGGATTTTGAAGATTTGACTTTGGCAGTCGCAGCCTAAAGATAAGCAAAAGGAAAGATCAGAATCGTGTGGATAATCTTCAATTTACATTAAGAAAGTATAAACTTCAAAAGTTCAAATCACCGCATCCTCCTTTATTGCAGTTTTAGCGACACGTTCAGCATCTCCGTATGCCTCTAGTACTTTATCAAACAATTCCATTTTCGCTGATTCTTCGGCTCCAGCACTATCGGATTTTTCTAGTTTAAGCGTGGCTTCTTGTGCCCGCAAAATACAGAGAGCCAAATCTGCATTCCTCAATGGCACTATACGGTTTTTCCATGTAATTGATGTAAGAAGAGCTTCTTTTTCGGGTCGTTTTTGAGAAAGCACTGACTATTTAAAAAAAATTGAAATTCATCTGTAAATAACTGAGAATGGAAATTCGTTTACAAAATATTTATATATGAATATACAATATATACCTCCACTTGTGCTTCCAACAAATCTAACTCGGCACCCTTGTTTTTTCCAAGATTAATTTTCACCAGTTCCTCCACATCTTTGGTCCCATCCGTTCCCAAACGTAATTTGAATGCACAATATCGAATATTTGGATCAATGTCATCAATTGTCGATTGACACAAAGCCTCCTGGTGAGATGTTCCAGCACTCGATAATTTTTTATAAATGGTTCTATAAAGAAATTGCCAACAATTCATTTTAATGAATCGAGTCCTGGAGTAAAATTTTTTACTGAAAATCCGAGCGTTTAATTTTACCTCGCTGCAGCAAATTTTTCAAAAGCAGCTTGCCATGATTGTTTTTCAAAGAGCAAATAACCAGACATCAGTGCAGAATATGCCTATTAATTTTTAATGCATTTATCGTTAAAGATAGCGCTGATGTAAAGAGAATTTAAAAAACAAAAACTTAGAATACCTGCGCATCTAAAGTTGTACGTGTATCGACTTTTCCTCTTTCTGCGCTACATAAATTCGACAAACTTTCACTATATTCTGCAGCTTTTCTAAAGCGTTTAATTGAATGTAGTCTTTTTCGTGTATTCGCGCCACTTGATCTCGAAAATGTTTTCAATTCCATTGCATAACTCCATGCACGCTCCGTATCAAATAAAAGAATCTGCAAATATCTGTAATTTACAAAATAATCATAAATAGCGAGCATCAATATTTTCGAACGGACATCGACAACTATGGATTTATTACCTAACATCAGTTAGCACATCATCATCCACATCCTTTTTCTGAAAAGCCTTGCCGCTTTTATTATGAGTAAAATGTAAGGCCTGACGTAGACGATGTACTTTTTGTGTGCAGTACTTTCTGAATAATGTTTCATATATTGATTAAAGTTGTACAGTTGAGTTGAAGATCATCAATGATACATTATCTGTTTTTTCATACTTTGTATTTGTCAAATATTCTTTAGATAGTTGAATAAAAAACAAATAATTAGACCAGCTAGATATATATTATCGATTTCACCTATAACGCTGATAATCCTGGTGTCGAAGACCATATGTATTTCTAGCTTCGTTCGTTAATGCCAGAACTATGCAGTATAAAGAAAAACTTTGCTATTAGGGCGATTTAAGAAAGTCACAAGTTAATAATAATAATAATCTATTGATGTTATTACTTACTATCGAGAGAAAACAACATGGGAGGATGAATAGAAGTTTCTTGATCAACCTCCATTGTAGTAATTTGCCCTTCACAAGCTTTTGAGGACAACTCGGAGCATGGATATATGGTCGATCAATGATTAACGTTAAAGTCTTATTATAACGATAACAAACAATCACATGATTTTAATTTGTTTAATCATCCATTCTGAATTCATAAGCAAAAAATGTTGACACCACCAGAGCAGTTTGGAATAGTAGAGAAAGGAGTCTATCGGTCGGATATGCTTCACCAATCACACTTTCCATTTGTAAAATCTCTTGATCTAAAAACTGTAGTCATATTATCACCAGAAGTTCCAACGCGAGCTGCCACAACGTTTTTAGAAGAAAATAACATCAATTTGGTAATGCGATGAAATCATGAAAATGAAATTTTAATAAAAGATGATCAAGTGTAAAAACCATCAACATTGAAGATTCATTTAGGCCTAAGAACATGGAAACCAAATATTGGATGGAGGCCTGTGAGTGAAGAGTTAATAAAGGATGGACTGGAATTGGTGTTGGATGTTGGGAATCATCCTATCCTTGTAATGTGCACGTAAGATTCCCTTCTGAATTTATTATTTAATAATAATTTGATGAAAATCATAATTGTAACATTGTTCTTTAAAAGTTCTGGAATTCATGAAACTGGTACTTTTATCGGATGTCTACGTAAATTACAGAATTGGAGTTTTAGTTCAATTGTTGCCGAGGTAAATTAGAATTGGAATTGGAATTGAGATTTGAATCGAATTTATTTTATTATACAATTTAATCTTTCGTTCTAAAGTATCGTAGTTATGCAGGAAACAAGGCACGTTATGTAAATCAACAATTTATCGAGTTGTTTGATATGGATTTGGTAACACTCCCACGAAATTTACCCTTGTGGTTTGTGAAACAAATGCAATTATTGGTTAGTGTTTAGAGTTCGCAATACTTTGTGTGTGTAATAACATAATAATAATAGCTTTGCTTTCTTTTTTTGTAGCAAGAAGAGGAAAATGAGGAGTTTAAAGATAAAACCTTATTATAATGATCGTGTGATACAAGATATTATCAGTTATCAAAAAAAAAAAAAAAGGGAATTTTCTAAGACTATTAACGTTTTACCACGTATTATTTTTTTTTGATGACATATTTGATGATCAAAAGAATGCAAGTAATAACAATTTTCCATTTTTATATCGCGTCGTGTTACTTTATTTCTTGTTGCATACATAATATAGCAATCAATGACTATCGTTATATTGAGATCATCAATTCGGATATGCAAACCCTTGCCGCCACTCTTTCTTCTTTCCAGAAATAAAAGATAAATACCGTTGCTGCCCAGTACTCTTCTTGTATTTATTAACAAATAATATACTATTTTTTTTTTCGATTAGTATTTAAGCTTAGACAAAGCGTAAGTAGTCATTTTATTATCATTAAAGATCGAATAAAAATCTTGCAATTCAAGTTATTTATAATTCTTTTAATATCTTCGTAGCATTACCTCTCATTCATAAACCAAACATAAAGCACAATGACTACAAGCAAGAGTGCCGCTTATGATTACCTCATAAAACTTTTGTTGATTGGAGATTCAGGTAAATAAATAAGTTAAATACAACAAAAAAAATAGTTTTTCTTAATTTATTCGCCAAGTTGAACTGATAGACAAAGCAACGCGGTATCATTGAATTCTTTTGATATTCGTCGAATAATGAATAACGAATACTTGACAATGAATAATGAATTATCAATAACGAAGATTAATAACATTGGCAATAGGTGTTGGCAAAAGTTGTCTTTTACTTCGCTTTTCCGATGATTCTTTCACTCCCTCGTTCATCACTACCATTGGCATCGACTTTAAAATCAGGACAATCGAATTAGACGGTAAACGTATCAAACTTCAAATATGGGATACGGCAGGTCAAGAACGTTTCCGTACTATCACGACTGGTAAGCAGCAGCAACAACAACAACAACAACAAGAGAACTTGATCGTTTATCAAGGGAACATTAATTCATTTAATTAATTGAAAATAATAAATTATTAGCCTATTATCGTGGTGCAATGGGCATTCTTTTGGTATATGATGTCACGGACGAGCGATCATTCACTAGTAAGTTTACATTCATCCTTATTCTCTGAACAGCATTTCTTTTAATCATTGTCTAATTATGTTGTTATACATTCAAGATATAAGGAATTGGTTTTCGAATATAGAGCAACATGCTAGCGAAGGTGTGAATAAGATTCTTATTGGTAATAAATGTGATTGGGTCGAGAAAAAGGTATATATAAAATCTCTTATAAAAATCTATTTTCAAGCTAGTCGATTAACCAACCATTTATTGCACTATTAAAAACAGGTGATCGACAAAGAACAAGGTCAAAGACTCGCTGATGAGTTTAACATTAAATTTTTGGAGACGAGTGCAAAAGCGAATATTAATGTCGAAGAAGCTTTCTTCACCTTGGCCAGGTTCGTGTCTTTTTTTATTATATATTAAGATTAAATGCAAAAATTATATTAAATTCTAAATATATTATGTCTGCAGAGATATCAAGAAAAGACTCATTGACACTCATGCTCAAGAACAACAAAACACTCCAAGTAGGAAAATTGATTTGGAAACGAAGAATAACAAAAACTCTGGTGGCAATAATGGTGCTGGCTGCTGTAACTGATCGGAAATCTATCATCCACCATTATTACTACACCCACCACTACCATCATCACCACCGCCACAATACTTTATCGTATAATCGTAATCATATTATTATATTTATTAGGATTATATAATAATAATAATAATAGTATTGTTATTATTTTTTTGTTATCGCTATAATGACTTTTCTCATTTAATTATTTTTATATTTTCTTTTTTTTTTAATGATAATAAGGGAATAATCTCTTCTCTTCTTTTTTTAATTATTAATATCTGCGAGGATAAAAAAAATGAGATACTGATAATTAAATGATATTTTTCTCCCTTGTCACACATAATAAATGATGAATAAAAACTGTTAATAGAAAGTGATACAGATGATATCATCAATCAACTAACTATATGTGTATTAGTAGTGTTTTTAGAGTTCACAAGCTATCTGTCTGGTGATAATTTATAGTGTATTTCAGAACAAGCACGTAATCTCGTAGCAGCTTGTTCAGGAGTGAGATCCCGTTGCGGTTCGGCTAATAACTCGTATCTGATATTATCAATTCAAATGAGTAACAATAAAATAAGAGAAAAATTGCTAAGATTGATGATACTTTACCCAACCATAAACTTTTTGATAGTCGGACTCCGCAATAACGGTGGATAAAAATGCACATGTAAATGCGAATCGAAATCATGTTCTGCGTTATCGACTGGCGCCTGATGTATGCCCATCGAGTATGGAAACGAACACTCGAATAGATTATCGTATCTACACGTAATTCGCCTCATGATATTCGCGAAATCTGATTGTTGTTGTTCATTCAGGTCCGTGATTTTGGTTATATGCTGTTTGGAAATAATAATGGTTTCAAAAGGCCAGATTGCCCAGAACGGTATTAGACAGAGAAACGAGTTATTTTCACATATTACTCTCGAGTTATTCGATTCTGCACTAGTGATAGTATTCGTAATATTATTTAACGGTGTCTCTAGCGAAACATAATCACATAACAGACAAGATCCATGAGAATCATAATATGACCGCATTGACGAGATTTCTTTACTTGGTTCTTCGGGAATCACAGAAGTGCACCACATCTGACCGTGTGGATGAGGATTCGAGCATCCCATTATTGAACCCTTGTTCTCGAAAATTTGTATATAGAAAACATAATCATGTATTGATAACGAGAGGAAAGATAAAATCCAATGCTTGATTATTTCGAGAATTGACGATTCAGACATCTCCGCCATGGTCACGTTATGTTTTGGTGAGTAACAAATCACTTTGCATTCTCCCCGGACACTTTCCAGTCGTAACAATGAAGAGAACTTTTCTGAAAAGTAAAATCAACTTTTATAAAGCCAATAATTATGTGAATGAAATCCTCTGAGCAAATGGTAAATAAGTAAAAAAGTTACCTGAAATAGAAGAATTAGAGAATTCAGGCTGCTCCTTACGAACCGCCGCAAAATCATTATTAAAAATAAATGTATTTTCGTAATTTGGATTTACGCCACCTTGTGCGCGAACATTACCAGGACATAAATAACAATTAGGTTCGAATTCTGGTAAAACCTCGTGTGTTGCTGCTTCTACCTGACCTTGCCAAGGCCTTTTTGTACGATGTGGAGAACAAAGCACCCACGAATTTGTTAGTGGATTGAAGCGTCGATGTGAATGCTCAACAATATCAAACTTCGTAGTAGACATTATGTCGATATCACATAAGTCATGATATTGATTTTCAAATTTGTGATCTACGAAAAAAAACCGAACCAATTTTTTTAGCTGTTATCGTTATTAAGATCTAATATCAAAAATGGTATGTTTTTTAATACTTTTTTTTTTAAGTCTTAGTAAATATACAGCGAATTCATACATATTTAACGCGATTTAATCCAATATCTCGGGTCATTTAGCGACCAATTTTACTACAAGGACACACGCGTTCTCTCACACAAATCAAATACAATGCCGAAGGGGATCTTTTGTTTTCAGTATCCAAAGATCATGTGGTGAATGTATGGTACTCGCATAATGGTGAACGACTTGGCACTTATAACGGACATGTTGGTGCTATTTGGTCGGTGGCTGTTAATTGTACGTAAAAACGCATTTTTTTTTAATTTATTTGAATTCGCCTAATTTTGATTTTCTATGTGCCAATCTTACAAATTTCAGCTTCAAGTACACTAACATTAACAGGATCAGCAGATAATGCTGCCAAACTCTGGGAAGTACGAACGGGAAAATGTTTACATACGTGGGAATTCAAAACTGCTGTTAAACGAGTTGCGTTCTCGGAAGATGACTCGATGGTACTGGTGGTGACTGAACAGAGAATGGGGTATCCAGGATCGGTGGTTATCTTGTCGATTAATCAAGATATTAATGCTATACGTATGTAGAGTAATTAATATTCCAGGAAATAACACTGCTCACATATATTTGAATACTAATAATAACGATAATGAAAATAGAATCAGATGAACCAATTACAATTATTCATCCGGAAGGGTCAAAAGCAATGGTTGCCGATTGGGGTTACCTGAATAATTATATTATCACTGGACATGAAAATGGGACTATTTCTCAGTATGACTGGAAGGTGAATCAGTGACTAGTTCTTTATTCTTGTATATATTAACAATGCACTGATCCATATAATGTATATTTTATTGTACTATTATAGACCGGAGACTTAATAAAATCCATCCAACCGCACACAGCCGAACTCACAGACCTCCAAATGTCCGAAGACAGAACCTATTTTATCACCTCCTCGAAGGACAAATCCGCACAAATATTCGAATCAAACACATTAAGCCCGCTAAAAAAATATGTTACCGACGCGCCACTAAACTCAGCCGCTATCACTCCAGTGCAAGAATTCGTGATATTGGGTGGTGGTCAAGATGCAATGCATGTCACAACTACAGGTGCACGCCAAGGTAAATTCGAGTGTCGGTTCTGGCACAAGATTTTAGAGGAGGAAGTTGGTCGGGTAAAAGGTCATTTCGGGCCAATTAATACTATTTCCGTGCATCCAAGCGGCGAGAGTTTCTCGTCTGGTGGCGAGGATGGGTATGTGCGTGTACATCATTTCGATCAGGATTATTTCAAGTTCAAATATCCGGATTTATAGTCGATTTTATTTGTTGTTATGATTGTTATTACGTGTAAAATTGTTATTTATTTAAGTGAGATTAACAAAAAGGCTTGTTTATAATAAAATAAATATATTACTATTATTGATTCCGAGAGAACACATAAAGTACGCGAGTTATTATATAAAAGGTGAATAGTTTAATATCTAGTTCTATGAATCAAGCTACTACAAATATCAATACTACTAGCGACTAGTACCAACCTGACTTAAGCGCGTTCAGAAGGTTGGTCACGAGAGTCTTAAACCTTTTCAAGAGCTTCCATTATCACCACTGAATTTCCTCGAATTACCTTAAAAATTAAAATGTAACGTAAATTTCTTAATTATATCCCAATTCACCAATTTCCTAAATAATCAAATCACAAACCACCATCCCAATATTATGTTTTTCGGTGGGTGAAATTTCTTCCACTGTTTCGTCGAGTACTAGATTCATAAATGGGTCAAAACCACGTAGAATACCATTGACTTTTCGTCCACCGTTTAATTGAATGGACAAATGTTTTTCCATGTATCTATAATTTTTTTATATTAGATTATTATTGTAAGTTAGTATTCCTATTCTCGTTTTTCGGGATTCGTTCGCCGGGGGCAATAAGAGAACGTGCTATTTCTCACCTTTTCAATTCTGGCTGTGAAGCTCTAGACATTTTGGTCGGTCAATATTTTGTTGTAGCGGTATGTAGATTAGATTAACCAATAATTGTTGGCAGAACAGATTAAAATATTTAAATCTGACATCTCAAAAAATTACTATAAAGAGAAGTTAATTCAATTCAATTAATTTAATTACCATTTGTAGTGAGAAATTAATACTCTGCAATGGTAAGAATTTGATATACTATCAAATTACGATATGTTTAACGCTTTGCTCTCTTCGTATCCACCACAAGTTTCCGAAGCAAACCTAAAGCATTTAAAAGAACTGTCTATTGACTGGGCTCTTTCCCATGGCGTAGTCATTCGTCCACCTGCAGATCTTGCTTTAGCAAATAATTCTTCTGTGATACATGCACCACTAGCTTTATTCCCTTCCCCGTTTCCAAAAAAAGCCTTCGAGAAAGGTTTATTGCTACAACCTTTATTTAACCTTCTTTTTCATAGGTTGACCAAAGATAATGAATATATAAAAGAGATTATGAATGAGTGAGAATTTTTTTTGAATTCTGTGATTTTTACATTGAATTCCATAGAAATAATTGTAGAAATAGATTATCCAAGGGAGACGACTTTATCGAAAAGCTTTATAATATATATTTGACCGTGAACAAGGAAGGAATATCGCAGGTAATCCTTCATTCAAAAAAGAATCCAAAGATCGAATTCTGGACGTGAAAATTATTGACAGAGTTATAGCCAATTTCTCTGTCTATAAGCAGATCCGATTATCTTTTACATCTTCCTTCTGGTGCTAATGAACCAAAGATATTACAAGTAGAGTACAATACTATAGCCAGTTCTTTCTCATCTTTATCTACTTTGGCCACAGATATGCATAGGTATTTGATTTCTTCAAAATTTATAAAATTAAGCAGCGAGGGGATAGATATTTGAAAATTGATCATTGTATCTTTTCGTGATTCTAGATATCTGCTGAAGTCTACCAATTACTTTGATTCATCATCTATCATTAAAAACGAATCATTACCGCAAAATGAGGCTATGGATAGTTTAGTAAAAGGTATTGCGAAAGCACATGAACTATATGGATCGCAAAAGTGAGATTGATTGATCAAATATTTTTACATTAAAAAATCGTACAAGAAACTTCCTCATCTAACTTTTTATTATAGTGCTGTAGTAGTAATAATTATTCAACCAAACGAACGCAATGCCTTTGATCAACGTTGGATCGAATACAAGTTGCTTGAAAAGTATATATTTTTTATTAATTCTTTATCCCATTCTTAATTCCATTCTAATCTGAGTTTTTGTTTCTAAAGTTATAATGTCCAAATGATTCGCAAAACGTTAACAGAAATCGGACAGGAAGGAAGATTAGATCCAGAAACTAAAGCGTTACATATGTATGTGGGCTGTGCTTACATATAAGCTCGGTTTTTTTTATAGTGTACCGCATGATTCATTTTTTTTAATTGGCAGTGATGACAAGGAAATTTCGGTCGCATATTTTCGTTCAGCTTACGGTCCGGCAGATTATCTCACTGAGAAGGTAAGCCTAAAACGAATTTTCTTATTAGAAATTTTTATAATCGTTGAGTTTAGTTGATTTTCTTTATAGGATTGGGATATTAGATTATTAATTGAACGCTCTAGATCTATAAAATGTCCTACTGTGGCATATCAGCTCGTGGGTTCAAAGAAGATTCAACAAATGTTGACGAATCCAGGCGTTCTTGAACGGTAACGAAGCTCTAGTTGAAATCATTTATCAGTAACAGAGATCCCCTACTTTGCGCTAATTGGTTCAAAATAGGTACATATCCAATGAATCAGATGTACAAAACTTGCGTTCTTGTTTTGCAGGACACTATCCTCTTGATGCTTCTTCCGAAGGTGAAGTGGCTGCAAATCTAGCTCTTAAACACCCCGAGGACTATGTTATGAAACCGCAACGTGAGGGAGGTGGTGAGTATATATATTATTTTCATGCACAGAGATACATAATAAGCTTTTATTAATAAAACTCTGCTGTATTTAAAGGGAACAATATTTATTCCACAGATATTCCTAAATTTATTTCTGGGCTTTCGTTATCTGAGCGCTCTACCTACATATTGATGGACATCATTCAGTCACCCTTGATTCATAATTTCCTGCTAAGACAAGGTGAACTTATTGAAGGGGACATGATCTCGGAACTGGGTATTTATGGCGTGTTTATAGGAACAAGTAACAGTGATTTCGAAAACGAATCTATTGTGAATGAAACTGCCGGGCACTTATTGAGAACTAAACCTAAAGAAACAAATGAAGGTGGCGTGGCAAGTGGATTCGCGGTAATTGATTCACCACTTTTAATTTAAATTAGCTAATATTTTTATTATTATGTGGAAATACACGTTCTCTTTTCATGTGTCGTCTTAATTTAATCTGCAATTAAACTTCACACGAATCGGGAGTTGTTGGGATTTTAAAAATCCATAATAAAGTAATTAACTAATTAAGGGCCAATCTTAGTTAGCCGCTAAATGGATATCCAATTTTTATTAATTTATTCCTAAGATATAACTATGAAAATTTGTTAATGAGTATACCTATTGTAGATCAAAAGAATGAGTGATGGTGCTGCTCAATAAGTAAGAAAAGATAGAAACCTTGCGTGGATCAAGCCAGTTCAGAAAAAGTCGCAAATGACTACTAAAAATAACTTCTCTTTTGATTAATAATATTTATAATTATTTTTTATTTATCTGAACAAATTTATAACACCTAAGTGTGAATTACTCACAAACCAACCACAATAATTTTGCTTACCTTTTAATTCTGTGCACCTTTTACTATATCATTTATCCTTGCACTTAAACCTTTACTTGTATTTCACTTTATAATAGATAAAGTTATAATGATATTGTGGATGATGTATCAGTTATGATTTTTTGTCGGAATTAGTCCTAATCAATTAGAATAATTAATAAAAAAAGATAAAGGAATTACATAGTTAGTTACCTTCTCTTCATCATTGTCATTACTAGCGGTCAGCCTTTGAAAGAACGATTGATCCCTGACTGGACTAGGCCCACTATCACTCATCCAGAAATCATCTTGATTTTCAGATGTTGTGGTGATGGTTTTCTTACTAGGGCCACCAATATCATGACTAGAGCCACCCATATCGTTCGTCCAGAAATCATCTTGACTTTCGGGTCTCTTGTCAATGGTCTTCTTACTGATGGTTTTTTCAACAGGTGGGTAAGGTGAATATCTGTTCTATAAGGTAACAATGTTATTAATAAAATAAAAATATTATTAATAATCCGGAATAGAATAAACTATCTAGTATAATTGAATTTTTACGAACCGTCTCAATTTGTCGTTCACTGGTGACCAAGTTCCCGCGTTTAGCATTTTTTTGTTCCCTTTTCTTAATACTTTGTACGGCAATTTGATATTGTAAATAATCGCTTAATTGCTGTGATGTCATACTGTACTTTGGATCAATTCGAGTAATAACATGACGTTTGGGACTCTTGTAACATCGACTACCATTAGGTCCAATTCTTGGCATTAATACGCCATGTTGATTATGGGGAACAACGTGAAGTATTTTCTTTGGAGACTTTTTCTTCGCGAGTTGTCGCTTCATAGGCGACGGGATTTTTACTTTCTCTTCTACTATGAGTTCCGAGTCACTTGCGTGTTCATCCTCCTCTTCTTCTTCCTCCTCGGTGGTTTCTTTATTTTTGCCTTTTGCCCTGCGAGATGCCAAGCGCGAAATTTGCTTATCGCGTATCAAGGCCATCTTTGCGCGTCTTGGCGTGTATTTATTGTAAGGCGAGAGTTGTGATAACTGAACATTGGTCTTTTTAGGTGTTGTGACTCGATCCTGGTCTGAAGGTAAAGAAGTCATGTTGAGAGCAATTCTTCTTCAATGTCTACTTGCAACAACGATGTATGTAAAGAATGAATTCACGTCCCATTCATGACACGAAAACTAATTTTTTAAATTAATGAGCCACAATCCTTTGCAAATTCCACTTAATGCAATTCGACTTGAACATGTTAGGCTGAACAGAAGATCCGGTTTAATGCGCGAAAGTACAATCTGTGCTCGGTTCCTGGTCACATGATAGTAAACCAATAAGAATGTGCGAATCATATGTGTGTCGGCAATTATTAAAGATTGATTTTATCGTTGTTAGAGTGGAGAACAAAGTTATATGTAAAATTGCTTCTCCGACATTTTTTATTAGAGCTCCAAGTTAGATTTAGATATCTGTATCTCGTATTTTTCACATTTTCACATTTTTCATTTTTTTTGTTTTGTCGGAAACACTAAAGCAAAAATAGTAAAATTAACTCGAATAATCTTATAATTATCCGGATTGACTTAATACACATGACCTACAGTGGCAATCAATGCTAATTTGCAATTTTTATTGTGTACTGATTTCGGAATGTTAACATGCCACCCACGGGTGTTATAGGTGTTGAAATGTCGACCAACCAACCTGAAATTAGTAATACCGTTTCTGGTACTTTCATATATGGCTATTTATACTCTTTATTATATTCTAATTTCTTGTATTTACGTTTGAAGAGCCTGATCTCGAAAAAAAGCTTGCTGAAAACCTAAGTTTGAAGGACTCATCTGACCTCAAGGATGAGAAACAAAAGAACATAGCCTCAGAAACTAAGTTCGAAGCGGATATTGTTCTGGAATTCACTTCAAAACTGGTAACAAATAATGAACTTGTCGAAGGCGTCGAAAAGTATGCAGAACGACTAGGAATCAAAGAATATACAGAAAATAAAGACTTGTGGAAGAAATTTTACGGTATGTAATAAGCTTGATTGCATTTTTACTAATATACCCTTCGTTTAGACGTCTTTGGCCCAGATTTCGTTTGGCCTTCCACAATGAAAGTTGGTGAGCGTCGTGAAGTCCTTGACTATATTATTTATCCCGAATGGGAACCAACCGGGGAGGAACTTGCAAGAAATACAGTTGAATATCGTCGCCTACTTGAGTCCGGAACTCTTGATGCATCGCAAGGATCGCACATTTTAATCATAAATGGGAAATTAGATAGTTACGGAAATGAGATATCTCCGGAAGACGACGAAAAACTGGAAAAAAAATATCCAGGGTGTTTATATGCACCTATTGTTGAACGTTCTGCTTTAATACGCAAATTCTCAGCTATGGATGATCAAACAAGAAAAGAGTGGCAGGTTTGTATCATTTACAATTTAATTGAGTAATTTTCGCTGTATCGCCATATCCATCAGGGTAAAAAGAAAGTTCTGCCAACCATCTTTGGGATTATACAATTGTTGTCTTACAAAGTATGGAATTATCGTCATCGTGGAGCCGGTATCAATTATCATTCGGTAATTTTGTTCAGTACTTGCCATTTTCACCTCATCTCCGGGATTTAATACATTTCGAATGCAAATATGGGACTACATTTGGCAAAGAAATCCCCAAAGATGTCATTTAATATTAGGTCATTGACAGATATTTATTAATCCAAATAAAATATATCGATTTAAAGCCTAGTAAAATTAAAAACTTATTTTGACTTATTAATAAAAAATATTTCTCTTCAGAAATTTAGTTTATTTACAAATTTTCAGCTTAATTAAATAATTATTTGTTGAAATATTTAATTTTAAAAACAAAATTTTAATTAATAAAAAAATAACTTTTTATTAATTAAAAATAGATTAAATTTATGAAGAGAAATATTTTTTATTAATAAGTCAAATATATTTTTATCTTATTTAATTTTATAAAATAATTTATAGATTTTTTATAAAGATAAAATTTTCTAAAAATTACAAATTAGTATTATATATTTGTAATATATTTAATAATTGACTAAATTTTGTATAATAATATTATTATTAAATCAAATAAATATCTTTTGTGATTTGATTCAAACTGAAATTATCACCAATAAAATAAGTATTAAATGCTTATTAGTAATATTATTAATATGAAATCAAATTGAAAATTAATTATAATTTAGAGAAATTTGCAATACTAACAAAATAAAAATAATAATAAATACAATTTTGTTTTGAACCAAATTTCTTAAATATAAATATGAAATAAATTAATATATTATATATGTAATTTGCTTAATTTTTATTAATTATCTTTAATATTTCTATGAACTAAACTAAATTAAACTTTAAGTCTGATTTAAAATTTGAACTGAACTTAAATCAGACTTTAATTTGAGTTCAAGAAAAGTTCAAAGTTCAAACTGAACTCAAATTGAATCATTATATGAATTTGAATTTAATTCAAGTTTAATTAGAGATTAATATATAATATTATATACTAATTGTAACTTTAAGTAAGAATTATAACTTTAATACTTTAATTATAAGTATTAATTATACTATTTATAATTATCTCTTTTTATAAGAACATGATTAGATCATAAAAATTGATTCTTATAGAGAGTTTGTTTTTATAAAGAGATCATTTTTATTATTAATATTAATTATTTAGTTCTCAAAATTGTGTTCCTATAGAGAGATATTCTTATATAGTATATTCTTATATAGAGGAATAATTATAATAAAAATTAAAAGTTTACTTAATAATAATTAAGTTATTTTTATTTTTATAATTATTAAATTTTATTATAAATTTTATATATCTCTTTGAATAATTATTATTAATAATAATTAAATTGTAACTCTTATTTTTGATTATAATTTTACTTATAACTGTAATTTATTATTATTATAGTAAAATAAATATTTATTATAAAGTAACTAAAGTGAATTAAAATTATAATAATTTTTAAATCTAAATATTTTTTTGAATATTTATTTTTAATATTAATTATCTTATATCAATTTGTAGTTTTAATTCTGATCTATAACTTTAGTTAGAAGCTTATTGAACATTTACTTGAACTCAAACTGGACTTTTAATTAGATTTGAATTAAATTAAATTCAAAGTTCAAATTGAACTCAAACTAGATTTTTAATTGAATTTGAATTTTTGAATTAAATTTTTAATCAAATTTGAGTCTAGTTTAAGCTTGAACTGAATCAGATTTTTTTTTTAGAATTCTAGTAATAATACATAAAATGAATGATCATTTAATACAAGTTCTTGAAAAAAATAATTAAATATTAGCAATTTTTAATAAAGATATTAAATAAAAAATATTAATATAACTCACTTATTACAAATAATATATAAAATAGATACAATTACTAGATATTAATAATAAAAAAAATTTAATAAATCAATATAATACTTACAGTTATAGTTTTCTGATATAAAAATAAATTCCTAAATTATCTGAAAGAAATATAATTATAATTTATATTAGTTTTGATTATATTCTTAAATTAATTTTGATTATATTTTTAAACTAATTTTAATTATATTTTTAAACTAGTTTTAGTTATATTTCTAAATTATATTATTAATTTCAGAATTCATTTTTATCCTGATATTTGCATAATGCTTTGAATAAATTAATTGAACAAGTATATATACTAATTTTTATATTAATAATATAAAATAAGCTAATATCTTTTTCTTGACTTGAAATCAGATAATCAATACTTGTATTAGTTTGTTGAATTTTTAATATATTAATTATTTTTTAACTAAAACAAAAAAATTACTTAGCAATTTAAAAATAATCAGGATGACTATAAACTATTTTAAGTAATTAATACTCATAAAAATATTTTATATTTGTAATAATAAATTAAAATATTTTAACACTATTATATGCTTGGATACAAGCAAATATAATATTTTTAAATAATTTAAATTATATTTGATATAATTATTGATATTATTTTTACATAAAAAATAAGAACAGGATAATATTGTTCAAAATTATCATTTGTTTCAAAGCAATTTGAAGTGTTTTTGTAATAGTAAATATAAATAATAATAATTAGTTTTTAATTCAAGCTAAGATTTTACTATCTCAATTTTTATCTTTGTATATAATATTTTTTTTATGATTTCTATAATAAATAAATAATAATCTTTGTTGATATAGTATTTCAAATTATATAATCAATATCAAAATATCTGAAAAATATAAAATATATATAAAAGTTTATTTGAATATAGTCAATAAAGTTCCAATGTATTTTTTTAATAGATTTATTTTTTTTAAGAGTTATTTTTAGCTTATTTTATATAATAAAAAAAATTAAAAGATAGTATACTTATCATATATAATCAAACTTTTCTATAGTTATCACCCTTAAAAAAATAAAATTTGGTGACTATAAAGAGAATATGACTATAGAGAGATTTTTTTACTATATTTATATATAAATAGAAAAGCAAAATAGAGTAACTATATAGAAATATAACTATAAACAGGTGTGATTATAGAGATATTTGACTGTAACTTGTATAAAATAGAATAATTAACATATTTAATAGTTTAAAAAATATTAATACATTTATATAGTAAAGTTCTCCTATTTAATAAATTTTTTTATAAATATAATTTATTAAATCTATTATTACATAAAATATAAAAGTTTTTCTTAATTGTAAATCATATTCTTAAAAATACTAATAAATATTTATCAGCAAAAATTCAAAATACTCATTAAAAACTTTCTTTTTGACACATAAAAAATTAAGAAATTTTGCAAAATAAACAATATGATTATATATAAATTTAATATTAACTTTAAGTAAATAAATTATTTGAAGATACAGTCAAACCTCTTGATACTGTCAAATCTTTCTATAGTCACACTCATTTATAATTATATTTCTCTATAATTATCTTATTTTGCTTTTTTATTTACATATAAATATAGTAAAAAAATCTCTCTATAATCACATTCTCTCTATAATTACCAAATTTTGCTTTCCCAAGGGTAATGACTATAAAGAGATTTGACTGTATTAATATTTAAATTAAAGATGAATTATAGTTATTATTATAAATTAGACTTTAGTAGATATTATTATAATATAGATATTTTTGCAATTCAAATACTTTATAAAATAGTTATTTTATTAATATTTAATCATTTTTATTAATATTTAATATTTTTAAAGCAATTACTTGATTATCCTTATTATTAATATACAAAATTTAATTAAATAATATATTATTATAATAATAATATTTATTATATACTACTAAATATTTAATCAGATTGCTAGTACTGTATTACTATAGAATTATTCATATATTAAATAAATATAAAGAAAATATTTATTAATATAGTTAAATTTCTCTATAATTATATTTATTTATAGTTATATTCCTCTATAGTTATTCTATTTTGCTTTTTTATTTACATATAAATATAGTAAAAAAAATCATATATAATCATATCCTTTTTATAGTCATCAAAGTTTATTTTTTCAAGAATGATAACTATAGAGAGATTTGACTATAGTAGTAATATCCTATTTTATTATTTAATAAAATAGAAAAAGATATATTACATATTAATCCTAAAATAATTAAATCAAAATTAATAAATAATTATAAATAATAAATAGATGATTGATTAAAAATAAGTTATAATTATAATAATATCAAGAAGAGTTCTAAAAATCAAATTGTAATAGTATTAAATCAATATCTGTTTTAGTTTATCAATTTATTAATTTTGATTCAGTTACTTTAAGATTGATGTGTAATATATTTTCTTCTATTTTATTAAATAATAAAATAGAATATTACTATTACTAATAAATATTTCTTTTGTATTTACTTAGTATATGAACAGTTTTATAACAATATAATATAATTAAATTTCTTTATATTTATTACTCTCAAAAAAGCAAAATTTGGTGACTATAAAGATAATGTAACTATAAAAAAATTTTTTTTACTATTTTTATATAAATAGGAAAGCAAAATAAAATAATTATAGAGATAATATTAATATAAAAATTACTTGATAATATAGTAAATATATTTATTAAAAGTTCAAAGCTTACTTTATTTTGCATGAATCTACTTCAAAAATTATTATTTATATTAATTTGTTAAAAATAATTCACATCAAAAAGATCAATAAATAATTATGCTAATATATTATGAAAGCAAAATAAATAAAGAAATCTGATGTTAAACTTATTTTCTTTGCAACAAGATATTTACAAATTGAAAAGTGACTATTTAAAAATATAAAACATGAATATATTCAAGTTTTTAAATATATATTATATCTTTCTTCCTTGTTAATTAATCTTTGACTAAGTTCTAATCATTCTTATTTGAAAATACTCTATTAAATGAAAAATATATATCTATTAAGATAAAATATTACTGTATTCTTTATATTTTTAATCAATTATTATATTAATATTTGAGTTAGTTGATTAAAATATAGATGATTATAATTATACTTACAATTATATTTGAGTACTTTTCAATAAGACTCAGTTATCATTGTTGTCTGAGTGATTGATATTATATTAGCATATTGTTACCATTTTGAGCTTTTGCGTATGAAAGTATT